AATTCAGGCCCAACACATGTGCGAATGATTTGTGCAAATGATTTGAACTGTACGAAATATGCATGGAGCATAACATTTCATGACATGATTTTCCTCATACAATCTCCCCCAAGCCATGACAATCTCGTGACAATCTCACTACAATCTCGTGACAATCTGACTACAATCTCGTGACAATCTCATGATCCTGCAAGGCTAGCTCTCCGATGCGTTTTCAGGAAGCAATAGAGAAGCTATGCAGCTAAAAGCACAACAAACAAAAAAACCTACAGTAGCATGTTTCACTTGTGCAGAACGTTCGTCTGGTCTCCACAATTTCTATCTTCAGCGAGATGCAGGCCAACTCCGGATGCAGCATCTTCACGATGCTAGCTCTAACAATTTAAACGTATTTGGAATGGCCTCTCTAAGCTTTTATTTTAGGTGAACCCAAACGTTACAATTTCACCCAGTTAAAAAAAAAAACCCCGATAATGATATTTGCATTGTTTTATGAAAAACCACTGAAGGCATAGCCAAAAACGTTAATTGTAAGCAATTTGTATTGTACAGCTTTGATGGCATCAGTGTTTACAATAAGTTAACATATCAAGAATAAACAAAAAAATGGGACAAAAAAAATGATGCTTTAATCTTCACCCCAATTATAAGCATAATTGTTAAAGTTATTTATGATACAATAAATATAACGATGTATGTTTACGCTGCCGTAATAACGGTTATTACTGGCCTAACAGATTTGAATTATTTTGTAAAAAAAAAAAAACCTGCCATTTGATTTCTATGAAGGTCAGAAGCAACTGGTCTGGGGCAAAAATAAAGGAACCAACAGTGTCCTGGTGAAAATAAAACAGAATCCTCTTTGTGCAAAAATCTTGGTGGGTCCTCACCACGATAAATTGAAAAAAATAATTCGTATAAAAACCAGGTTAATTGGTCATCCTTGTGCGACTTTTGGTTCAAGTTCAAAGCGCGAGACGCATCTTGAACGAGGCCAAAGTAGAGAATTAGTCCGAGCCACACGGTCGCATTTACCTGCTCAACTCTTTCAGGAACACTCAATGAAATCGTCTTGATAATCACGAGCACCCTGGCTCTCTTGCTTCCCGTTACCTCGCCTCCACGTCTTGCCCTCTCTCACTCCTCTCGACTGCCAACACGACCCCTAACCCCTATCCCCCCCCACCCCAAAGCGTCCAGAAATCCCCGTTACCTTCGTGACGTTGTTTGCCCGCGAGTTTACAAGCGCAGTGCACCGCTTTGTGACCCCAGGCATCGCTTACGATTGGAGACTGTCCGTCTCAATGGGCCCTCAGCTGATGAATGTATGGCGAAAAAAAAACCACGCTTAGACATTTCTTTTCATTTGTACGGCCTAGGAAGAACAACTATTAGAGATTCAACTGTAAGCGATTTTGCCATTCAACTGCTTTTGTCCGAATCGCAGGATACACTTACCCCACTCACTGCCTTCAAACTACGTAGCCGCCAATCTTTTATACCCACCCCCCCTCCCCCTCCTTCGTCAATGTCCAGTGAAATAATCTGAAAAATTGGTTTAAAAAAAAAAAAGTAACAGCAACTTGGCCATTATCGAACCCAAAACAAATAAAGACGGAAGCAGTCTCTCCACTAACACGGGAATTGGCCTCATGAAGGATCGAGTTGTAAGATGAAAAAAAAAACCAATAAGGGAAAAGCGTGCACGTACGTGGCAACGCGGGCTCCCATCTCGTGCGGGAGGAAACTCGAGCCCGGGATCAGTGTGCCCGATTTATGCTGCCACATGTGCCGATAGAACATCAGCGTTTCAGGAACAACTACCAATACTCATTAGTGGAGAGGGGAAACGCTCCCTGCGGGACACGGGTATTCCACTGTGTGCCATTAGGTCCATTATTTTCCACACTTGAAATAAACCGTACATCTGACGCCACCTCCACTTCATAGTTTACATCACATCGCTTGTGTTTAGTGGGATACCATTACAGCCTAACACGCACACATTAACACTCGGATGATTTATACATACATGTATTGTACGTGTATCCACACGAGACGCGGTCACCGAGTGACTGAACGTTAGGTACACGCACTCGCATATAATTGTGTTATTATTACAAAAAGACACCAAAAGCATCAACCCTGTTGAATTTTACATTCGAAATCTCCATTTTCTCCTCTACCTACGACCGTCTGCGTCTTTATTAAAGAAGCCTCCTGTCCCCCAGATGCCCAAAACATGCCATTTTGTACAGCGTCTTGAAATGGGGTTGCACAAGACACGAGATAAAGCCACAATTGCAGCGCAGTTCTGTTCTGGTTGTAGTCGTCAAACATTTATGGGAAAGCACATTTTTAAATACACAAATAAATGTTGTTGCAGAATTTATTTAAATCGAACCGTCAACAACCCCTTCATCAGTCTAGATTTCTTAGCCGAACATGTTTCATTTTTATAGGCGGAAACCCCACCTCTCAAACAGCTCTTTTTTATGGATAAAGCACAGATGCTGACACAACTATACCAATAGCGTGTTCATAATGTTTAACTTATTTCGCTCCGTACGAAGCCAACCGTGCTATTCGTGGGGTTACGCCTATAAAAAATAAAACCGCTTGCATCGAGACCTAAATAAAACAAGTTGGCAAATCTATCGGGCTGAATTCTGAAACGAAGAAAAAAACCACGTCATCTTGGGTCGGATTCCTTCAACGACGACAGTAAAAATTCTCTCCAAATACTTTCGTCACGGTGCTCTGCAGCTCACGGAAAGAAAACTCGCAACCTCTTCCTCCTCCTCCTCTTCCTGCTGCTGCTGCTGTCTACACCGAGGAGCAGGAGACCATGGCCACTGCCGGGCGTCGTCTCGACGTTGACAGCTCCCGCCGTCTTGAACGCGGCCACCACCACCACCGCTGCAACTGCAGCAAAATTCATAGCAGCAGCAGCAGCCGCATTCAGTCTACACTGGCTTACAAGAGACACTTAAAGACTCCCCCCCCCACCTCATTCTTAAAGGGCCCACCACTTTTTGTATTCTCCACCTCTTTCTGAAATGGACCACTTCTTTCTTCCCAGCCCATCTCCTGGCTCCGTGTACCTCAAGAGTCACGGTCATACATGTCCGCAAAATATTACGCGTGTTATAAAATTAGATTTCTGTTAAGTCGATGTACCAATTGTGTGCGTGCGAGGGTGAATGCAAATTATGTATTCTAGCCCATACAGACACACAACCCCATTCCTATACATTACAAATTAGGTATTCTAGCCCATACAGACACACAATCCCATTCCTATACATGTACGCAGAGAAATGAGACTAAAAAAAAGTGCGTAGTAAGCATAGTAACACAAAAAACTGAGCAAATAATGAATACCCAAACATTCGGAAACATGTGTCATCATTCAGGGAACACTCGATGCTTTCCTGTTCCCATACACACACTCTGCACGATGTGCACAACATCACTTGAGAGATATCTTGGGTTTGCCTACATCCACACGCAGCTGCTGAATAATATGCACTTGAATGCTGAACATTGACATACTTTCGAAAAAGTCTGGCGGAAACGCTGTTGTTTTTGCCCTTTTCATGAAATATCTGACGCAAATGAGAGTGTGCGAGGGGGTTTTAAGTGCAAAAAAAAGCATTGCTGGCCTTGAACACATCTTACATAGAACTTTAAAATGAGTATTTTGGCAATGTGTAAACAGAAATACATAAATGCTAAGAGTTAACATTTCCCCCATGTGATAATTGTGAAGCCGGAATGGATCTCACCATTTCACAACTTTTTAAGGATACACATGCTGTGGTTCGCAGAAATAAACCGGATGTTGAAAAAAAAATCTTCTAAATGTAAAAAATGAAATGTTTTGACGTTTAAAACTGCAGCGATATTGCTCTGCGATATCTAATAACTCACACACACAACACATCATTGTGCCAGGACTAAGTGGAACCAAACCCATACCCCACTGGCTCAAGGGCCACTAGCCCTTCCAGCCGCTCCAAATAAATCAACGCATGTGGAAAAACAATAGCAGTCCAAAGTCCCCCCCCCCCCATTAAATGTAACTGACCGACAGCAGCAAGTGTGAACGGAGCGGTGTATTAAGCAGCAGCAGGGTTTCAGAAATGTTATACGGTGCGCAAAGGCGTATTGAGTTGTACAAGTGGGGAAGGAAGTTTTGGCCTTTGGAGGAGTTATATCAATAAAATGGTTGTGTTCCATAATAATTAATCTTGTACGCTTACTGCATTGCCAATGCCCATACACAGATCCTACCTATTCATCATTGTAGACTATTGGGACAAGGGCTGTTGGCGAGCACCAATTGAAGCCAGCATGGTACTCAAGGGGATAATGTAGTATTGTGGTTATGACCGGCCACCTGTCTCCCCCTGCGATAATGTTCACACACACCCACCCCTCCCCCACTAGGTATTCATTTTAAGCCGAGCAGACCTCGAGGAGACTCGGGCCAGGATCAGACACCAACTGACACCGGTGTTGGGTGTTGGTGCAAGACCAGAAAGTGAGAAACGAGATTTGACTGGCAATGCAAGCGGTTGCACAAAGCACTGTGGCCGCAAGTGCACACACACAAAAGTGCCTAAACCGGAAGCAATGTTGCAATGTTAACCAGAATAATCTGTCAATGACGAAAGAGGGCCCAACAAAGCATATACCGTAACCGATGAAAGCAGTTGTGAAAATACAAATTTAAAACAGGTCACCCAAACGTCTTTCATTAATGGTGGTCTTGTGCATTTACCCAACATCTCATGATTCACACATTTGTTTGGTACTGTGGTATCCCTCAGCATCACAACACTTCAGCGAGGTCAGTCCGCCCATCACATTTCATTGTGTTTCTTTAAAGAATGTCACAAAGCTATTTGATGACAACGAATCGATTATTTAGAAAATCACACGCGGATATGCAATAAGACATGTAATGAAAGTTCACACGCATGAACACAACTGAATTTTTTTTTTTTAAATTCCGCTTTTATTATTCTTAACAGGTGCAAATTCCTGGCTTGCAGCTGTAACATTTTACATGTATAAGATTCAACTTCACAAGATGTCAGAGTCTGGCAAGACACACCGATGCTACTGTGGGATTTGTCAATTCTGGTGAAGGGAACAGTCTTTGTTCACGTCTCAAGAGAAAACAAAGTACAAAAAGAAAAATACATAAGTTGTACAACGAAAGTAAGTTAGTCTTCATCACAGGTTTAAAATGTGCAGTTTAAAAAAAAACATTGACCAACTTAGACATAAATAGGTAGCACAAAAAAAAAACCAAGACAGAATGAGTGCAAATTCACCGAAGGAAATGCGCTTCAGAATGTGTTATTAAAAAAAAAACTAGTCATCATTACATATCTAGTGCGCTTCCCATGCTATTGGCACTACCGACATAAAACAGATGTGTGCGCGGGGTGAAAAGGAAAGTTCTTCCATCCATTACTGAAGAAGGCTGGAGAGAGGGGGGGGGGGGGAGTTAACTGCAGTCAACCACCGCACTTGGTAACCCGGTGTACTTGCGTCTACGAGAAACATTAATCGAAATGTTCCGGGAATAAACGACTGAAAACATTTAATGCTGGAACGCCCCCCCCCCCCCCCCCCCGCTGAAGCTCATGTTTGAGACTTGTAGGGATGGCGAATTATCTAGGATGTGGGAAACTGTAAAGGTCACAGACTTTAACAGAGTTTAGTGATTTAGTTGGGCCATTGACAGATTTTTATGCCCTTGCTTATTATCGAAAACAAACTGATTGAGAGTCCTCATATGGCCCTGCCTCTGGTGTTTTTTTGGACAACTTTCATCGAAATTCACAGATCTGCGTTCACTTACTGAAATTTGCCTCGAAGCATTTTCCATTTTCGGCACGGAGACCCGCACTGTGCGACACCCATCTATTTAACTTAAATAAGTCTCCAAAATGGAAAATCCAGTCAAGGGAGTCTGTCAAGTTTACACAAAGATATTGCGAGTGCCATTTGTCCCCCAATAACTGTTTACGTTGAACTTCAAACGTGTCCAAATTTTTCAACGTTAAGTGCACATTAATCTGAGAGTAAAAAACGTTCCGTCGACTTTACATGGGCGGGTCTTTTCACCTGAATCACAGAGTAAGTTACGCCCCTGGCTGCCTGCGTGTGTAAGCTTGCATCGGATCCGTTGCTCTCTTGGCTTTGCGTTTACAAGGTGCTTATCCCCCTCCCCCGTGACTGTCACTATCGGTGGCGGGATCATGACGATGTAATATATTAAAGAATAAAAAAAAGGGACAACCCATTCGGGTTTGTTCTGTACGCTCCTCAAGCACCTCTGCAAACTGCAGACGAGCGAGGTTTGTTCAGTACAAGCCACACTTTCCCACGTCTGCCTGTGGACACAAGAAGAAGAAATAACTTTTGACGTGTGTACAATAACCACCGAACGTGGATGTGGTGTAATGAACCATCCAATTTAAGCGCGTGATTTGACTGTAATTCAAGGATGGCCTATGTGGTTCACGACAACTCTAGGATGTGCCGTTTTTGTTTGAGATACACAGCGAAATATTGTAATGAGTGGCTCTTGCCATGTGGGGCAGGGATTGTGTGTGTGTGTGGTTTCTCCTGGGCATGTGGTTCTGGGTGGGTTAAAGAGGCCTATTTAAGGTGTTGCTTTCCCTACATAATTCGAGTAGCTATAATCGATTGGTACATGGCCTTTATAATTTCTACATCTTTTTTTTATTTAGACATCAGTTTGTAAGAGTTTGGAAGGCTGCAAAAATGTTTGACCGATTCAAATACATCTTCCTCGTCCTGAAATCCGAGGCATAAGGGCAACTCATTCATATGTAGTCTGTTTTGATCTGTTAGTCCTCTCCACCTTGTCCATATTGTCCCTCAATGTTTTGTTTCGTTCCATTTCAACCATTCCACTATGCGTGAGCAAACATTTCCAGAGCTCAAAAAAAAAGATGTCTTACTTGCGCAACCAATCGCACGCATGCATTGCGAGCGTAAGAATCGATCTCATCCAACGAATGCCGGGTTTGAGGAATGGCGTGGCGTTTGGGAGCGTGCGTCACACATCGTGTTTGCGTGCACCACCGCACTAATGTGTGCAAGTATTCGGCGTAGCGGGGCATGCGCGGTTCACAGGGTGAGACGGCGCGTGGTGTTTCACATGCACAACGTACGATGGGACGTATGTTTTCCAGTGCTGTTCACTCGTGGTCCGCGGTGGCCAGAACCTCCGTCTCTTTGTGCACGACTACGCGAGTCACTGCCATGTCTGGATGCTGCTCTTTGGCCTCCTTGATCGCTTGGGCTAAGGCCTATTCCCCAAGGCCACACACAAAGGCAAGGATTCACCGGTTAGCCTTACGGACAAATGGGGTCAAATGCTGCGAGTATACACACATGGCAATAACAACCTCGAGACACAAAAACAATTGCTGTTAAAAACAAGTTATTAGCTACATTAAAAGGCAGCAAAACCAGCCACCTTGGCATTTCAAGTTCAAATGGCATGTTACCTGGTCGTGGTCAAGGTCCGAGTCGCCGCTGATCACAATTCTCTTCTCGATGCGCGTCTCTGAGATGCCGTCTTTCACAGTCTGCACGGGCACACGGCGGGCGCATCAACGCTTTGGACACCGAAGCTGTCCGTATTGACACACAGGCGTTTAATGCGAGAACAAACTAAATGCACTTATGGATAAGGCTCTGATTGATAAAAAGGCACCATCGTCAAAAACCGCGTCAATGCCCTGCTACAGTCTCACCAATGGGACCCCAGTGACAGACGTCGCTGTGCAACATAAGGTGAAAAACGTGGTACTGTTCTGAAACGGGCATTCGTCTGCAGGTAGGGGGCCGATGTTGCTATGGGTTTGAAATTTAAGAAATGTGAGAGTCGTTTATCGTACGCCAAGTCAAAGTCTCCCTGCTTGAGCAAGCCTTGGTGATGTGCTCCTCTCCTGCAAGCGGTGGGAAATTCCACATTCGCATGGTGGGAGTCAGTTTATACATGTGGTTACTAACCAGCTTCTCACATGTTGGTTCTTTATCTTATGCCTCATGCTGGAGTTCTAAGTGCCCTGCCATAGGTGGCCACTTGGCTAGACACTCAAGAGTAGCCGGGTAGAAGCGATTTGGGCGGAACACTAAGAGGGTGGCAAGGCTGATACAACTTAACGCGTAATAGTGCAAAGAGTAAGCCACCCAGTCAGCGTGGCCAAAATAACAGAGGGATGAAGAAACAACGGGACAAGCAAGTGGGAGAAGGCACAGATAGGTGATAGGATAGACGCACATTAATTCCACAGGACAGGTTAATTCATGCCGCAACAAGGAGGCACATTTGTATTATTTGCAACGTGTCCATCGTGTCTTCGGCCCACGTGCACCCTGCAGCCACTAGAAATGACACATGGACCAACAACGGCAAAACACCCATGTGCTTATTGAATCGAGACATTGAGACCTCGGGCCATGACAATTCGTCCAATAATATAAGCGAGGTTAATTGCTACCCGCCTAGCAGACACCTGTGCAGACGTACAATGGCATTGCAACTCGCAGCGTCGTGTTTTAAGAACGAATATTGGAGATATTTTTTTTTGCTACACCAGTTTGTAAAGCCATTAATTGCAAAAATACAATATTTCGTGCAATTCTGTTGTCAAAGTAAGCTGTCACCGCCGGTGCAACAGCGCCCTCAAGTGGTTGTGTATCGCGTAGCCAATGCACTCTGCAAGGCACCACCCTGGTGGCAGCTCTGTCGGCAGGCTCAGAGTATTTCTCGATCTTCCTGAATTCACGCAACAATATGCATGGACCATCTCGTCCCGGTTACTGGGAGCGGTTCCGTGCGAGAGCCATTGGTTGGAATGTGTTTTGTAGACTGGGGGAAATCTAAGGCAGGGGACCGGGTGGACAAATGATCAGAGGCTTCTCCTGTGGGAAGATTGAGCAAATTTGAGATTCAAATCATAATCTTTATATATCCTGGAGAAATCCAATGAGCGAAAAAAACTATTTTTCACAGATGTCTAGAAGGGGTGGGGGGGGGGGGGGTCACAAACTTGAATCAAATATCTCTTATGTTGTATATTTGTACTTGCATTGTGTACCCTAAGCTGTCTGACAAGAGTCCAAAACCTTGTGAAATGGGCAAAAACAGACTTTCAGTCAGGCAGGAGCGCAAGTAACGTGATTGTAGTGATATTTAAACTAAAATGAACTGTGACGCCCACTGCAATTATGTCACCAGCAAGCTCCCGACTTGTTGTCAGCCACCTCACAATGGCTCTCGTGACATCACCACTAGGTCAAAGTATTCATAGTGCTGTCCCAGCGTCATCACCATGACGTTCCACCTGAGAGTAGCTTTAAAAACCTCATTAACAATGTTTTCAAGAATTGTGTCAGCCACACATCGCAGGTCGTACCTACGCAGGCAATTTATTTCATGGACTGGATCTTACTTTATGTTTAAGGGGAGCAGAATACAGTATTTCATATCGGCCCATGTAGCACGGTTCCAGGCAGCCAAAGACTAACACAACTTGTGTTATTGTTACCCGGAGGTAACAGCACATGGCAAGTAGCAAACATTTACAGTGTTTGAAGAGCGTACCAAACATGTTGTCTTCGCTGAAAATAAATAACGATGGAGTATTTTAAACGACTGCTGCTGAAAAAGAACAAAATCAAGTCCCCATAGCCTTTGCGAATGGAGATCAGACATAAGTACCTTGGTGATATGTGTAGTCATTGTGGAGCTGGAGGTCTCGGACGTGATGGTCTGTGCGCTCATCAGCAGCCCTGGCTGCCCATCATTTTCAACAATATCCTGCGCACAAAAGATACAGATCCCCCCCCCACACTGTAGCTTTAACACACCTTTGGGGAAAGTTCTGTTCGCGAGCACCTATGAAGGCCGGCATGACACACGAGGAGGTGGCTAGCCAACATCACAAATATTTGTCTCCCGAGTGGCGATGTTTACACATGGCGACAATCGCACCAGGTCCTCATTTGAGGCCGAATCGACCTAGGGGAAGCCCAGGACCGGTCCAGAGAATCGTCACCGGTGTTGGCCGTGAGCGGGAATCGATCCCGGATCGCTGGGTTCGTAGCGCAGCGTGCTAACCGCTATACCACCGCTCCTCACAAATCACAGATGCACGAATGTACACACAATCACTGATGCGATACTGCAGACGTGGGAATTTTTCTGACATTTATTATGCATACATCCATTATAAGCATCGCACTGCAATGACCTTGCAGACAAGCAGCCTATTACCTGGTTTAATAGTTCACATTTTTTCCCCATCAGAGCTGTAATTTGTTTTCTGCTCTTTTAATTCCCTCTTGAGAAAATCGATAGGATTTGAGTTGAATATTCAACTAATCTTCCCATTTCTTAATGTGTATCCCATGTAAATTCTGTATTATGGGAACAAACCATTTCACCTCAATACTGGTTATACATTTGGATATTACATCGGCACACTAAGGAGTGCTGTGAAAGTAGAGCAGATGATGACAGACCTTGCACCCCCTCTGGAGTCTGAGTATGTATCGCATCAGCCAATCAAAAGCAGGAATCCACCGCTATAAGTTGCCACATTATGCGTTATTTTTCATATACATTGGCGATTAATTAGGAAAAAAATTCTTACAAGTGTGATTAGTCGTTATTTTATGGATATATGCGGAATTCTTAAACTAAATCTTGACTTAAAGCGTTCGTGACTGCAGGAATTCATGTTCTCTGGGTTGTTCGGTAAAGTCACGCAGATAGGTTCAAAGAAAATAACAAACTACGACGTTTCAATCACAACACAAGCAGTCGTCATCAGGAGCAACGCTTGTGTTGCGATCGAAACGTCCTAGTTTTTGTAATTTTTGTTATTTTCTTTGAACCTATCTACGTGACTTTACCGGAAGACCCAAAGAATATTCTTAAACGAGGAATGCACGTGCTGAAAACGGGCTACTCTGTAATGTAAGACGCATTTTTGTACACTTCATGCCATTTAGTCTCGGAATTTTTTCCCATAAATGTCAGCTAGGAACATTATGTCTATGCAAAGGTAGAGTTCTCTTTTGGCAATTTCGAGTTAAGTAGCATTTCCCAGAAACGCATCCCTTACATATAAAAGTGGGGGATATTCCTGCACTTCAAAGAGAAACCATTTCTTAATATACCGAGCACATGTAGCCATTAGACAGAGAATCGTTATCTGTGCCGCTATTATAAACACGACATGACAACGCGAGCAGGCATTACACTAATCGCTGCAGCGTGGAACCTTTCAACCAAAATAGCGGTTCATCAAGAGCGGCGGCTCTAACAAATCCTCACTGCCTGTGGTGGGTGCAGGATGGGTACGAGGACAGATGGTGGAAGGTGTGAGCAGGTAACTGCGCAAGGATGGGTACAAGGAGGGTATGTGATACGATGGTGTGAGAGCTGGTACCTGTGGAGCCTCGTAGGTGATAGTTTTCGTTTCCGTGGCGACAATCGGCACATCACGGGTGGTAATCTCTGTACCGGAGGCCGGGGCGGCCGAGTTGAAGCTCATGGTCTCAGTCTGAACCACAGGTGGCTGCGTGCACCAAACGTGGGAATGGGTGCGAGTGCACACACAAAGACCCACCACCCCACCCCCAGTACAGCTTAAACAGAATGTTGCAGTTAGCGAGCACATATGAAAGCCGTCAGTGCACACGAAGGGGGTGGGTGGGGACAGCACCACACCTGTTCGCCTTTGTCTCCCTTGTGCCGATATTTACATATCGCACCAGGTACTCATTCGAGGCCGAAATGACCAAGGGGAAGCCCAGGACCGCTTAAGATAATCGTCACTGGTGTTGACCGTGAGCGGAAATCCAACTCGGGTCGCCAGGTTTGTTTGCGCAGCACGCTAACCCGCTGCACTACCGCTACCCACCACATGCACATACGCATACGTACAACAAAAACAGCCGCCATTTGTCACTCGGTGCTGGTGACATCACCACGGCGCTTGTGCCAGGCCAGGTACCCTCCGAGGCCATGTGAAATGTCGAAGGCTAGCTGACAGGTCACGGGACAAACCCAGGTGCCATGGGTTGACAGATGACTGGCAGATGCACAACCGGTGCCCCCGACTGTGCCAACTTGCTGCATTTGAGCTGCCCAGTGCTCCACTCTTTGTTGTGAGCGTCGCTACTCTGCCCTTCCGCTGCTGTTGGAGGGAGACTGCCTACAACTGTCCAGTGGCGTCCTTCACAATACCTCTCTCATAGAGGCCGATCTTGACACCACTGGTACCTGTCTTGGGCACCAGCTCCACATGCTCGAATATTGCATCAGTCCATCTCTTCTCCAGCCCATGCCGTGCCTATTTAGCGTCCTATATCAGGCCAAATAGAAGCTGCTTGGGCATGCGGTGGCTGGGCATGCGGGCTAAGTGACCGAGCCAACGCAGCCTTGCCAACCAGTGAAGCTCACTAATGGGAAAGTGTCCAGATCTTTCAAAGATTTGTGAACTCCTCAAACAGATAGGACCCTTAGCCACACACATACAGCCACATGCACACCCACAAACACAATGCGCGTACACATATAGATACAAACATTAAGCTTAAGAGACTTTAAGGGCAATTGCTGAAAAAAGAAAGCACATTACTTCTGGAATAGCATATTATTATAATTACACTCATTTACCCAGCAAGGCCTCACTGAGCCTCGAGACTTTTTAAAGAGGATACTACCAAGTTTTCACAGGAGGGAGCAATGATTGCTATGTAAGTTCCAATTGAGTAATATTAGAATATGGCAACTTTGGACCGAGACACCGGTGCACAACGGCCTGCTCTTGCTCATGACATCACACAATCCTTCAGGTCCAGTGCGTGGTTGATACAACTGCAGTATTAACCCTTCCAGTTCAGAGACGTCTGCAAGTTGCAGGGTGGGTCCCGTTCACCTGTGAATCTCGGAACCCACAATTGGTTAGCGCACATTTTATTTAGGGAGGCGTAGCGCCATTGTTTGTCAAAGACACTGCACTCACCGCAGAGAACTGTGGCGACAAAACCGCAACCACTATAGCTGGCGCCAAACTGTACCACACGCCCTCCCACGTGGCCATGTGGGAGTCTCGGTACTGATAAAATTAGTCTACTTTAGTTTTTCTTCCGGGTTCTTTTTTGATGATGTACACGTACATACGTACATCATCGGAAAGGAAATCGGGGTAAAAAAAAAAAATCAGAACGGGAAAGATTTAAACAAAGGCAGCAGCTAGGCTCAATCCGCAAAAACTCCGCAACGAATGGCAAACTCACTCTTCACTCGGCCGTGTCGGCACGCGTCTCCGACCAAGATGCTCGAGGTGCGTAAATCGGGGCAAAGGCGAGGGGGGGGGACACCACACTGGGACAGCGCCATCAGTGGAATGCGCCACGCAAGAGCAACGCCCACCTGCTCCGGCTTGGCCTCGGTGCCGTTGGCAAGCGGACCTCCCGGTGGTGCGGTGTCGCCGTTGGACTGTTTGGCGGCCGGGTCAGCCGTGGCGGGGACTCCGCCCTCGCCGGAGAATCGCTTGTTCCAGTCGGCGTCCGCAGTCTGCGGGGCGCCCAGGAAAGAGCGCTTGAGCTCCGCCAGGTTGGCCTGGTGCCGCACGGCGTGCTCCGGCTTCTCGTCGAGGCCCTTGTGCGTGCGTGATGTAGGATGGAGAGTGAATGCGTGCACACGTGTGTGCGCCGGATGATGGGTGTGTGTTATGCAGGAGGGAGGGTGCATGCATGTTCACGTGTGCGTGAGATAAAGGAGTGTGTTATACAGGAGGAAGCGTACATGCACGTACACGTGTGTGTCATACAGGAGGGAGTGAATGCGTACACGTGTATGCAGGACAATCAATGTTCGTCGGATAGTGTGTGCGTGTGAGGAGCATGACGTTCCGTGTAATGTACACAGGATTGAGTGGATAAAAGTGTGGACACGATGAGTGTGTGTACAGGGTTTGTGTGCGCAGATAAGGAGGCAGACATTTAGAAGTAGTGTGTGTGTGTGTGAGGGGAGAATGGTGGGAGAGTTTTCACAATTAGCAGCAACAAACACATGCCTTTTCGCAATACAAACTAAACAATTGTATTAGTTTACCAGGTAAGGCCCACTGAGCTATATTGCTATTTTTCAGAAGCGACCTGGCCACAAATGATGGCTCAACAAAGTGGCTTATCACGTTGTAATTTATAGCAGCCAAATACTCTAAACGCGTGTTGGTTCTAAATGTGGAAGGGAAAACGGGAGGACCATGGGAAAAATCCACACGATCACGGGGAGAACATGCAAACTCCAAATACACAGGTGTCAGGGTCGGGATTGAACCCACGACCTCCTGTATACCGGGATTGAACCCACGACCTCCTGTATACCAGGCGAAGTAGTTAACATCGCCACCGTGGCACCACCTTACACTCTTAATGCTATTTGTTCAACACGCTAAGCACACCATTCATATTCAACAAAATCAACATCACCGCAAGTTCAACGACAGCAGAGTTAATAAGCACAGCCGCTCTGGATATGTGAAATGTTTCTGTTAGGAAATGATCGAATGACCCGATGAAGCATTTTATGTAAAAAAAATCTAAATAGCAAATTAGTTGCTTAAGCTTGTTACGTCAACACAGAGCAGCATAGCATAGCTTTAATGACTTGTAACATGGCAACTACCTGCAGGGTCTTTCAAAAATCAAATAACCAAATGTAACCTTTTAATAACTAACTGTTTTACACCTTCATGGTGTGCACTTGCATGCCTAACAATTCAATGCACGGTTGCGATGTTGTCATAATTCCACTGAAGATGTTGTTTATTTATTCATGTTGTGGTGAATGTGGCAACCTTTAAAACTATTTTGAGCATCTGAAAATAAATGTTGAGAGGGATACAACTGGAAACTTCACACCATGTATACAAATAGAAAAACATCGATATTTCCAAATGCGATTTTTTTCCACATGCAAATGTATGCACGTGTCGCAAGGTTAAGTATCAATAGTAATCAATCACGTATGCCTTTTGGCGTCCTCTGGCCTAACACCGTTTGAGACTAGGCTAAAAAAAAAAGCTGTCTCTGGTATGGACCAATCAGTTTCAAGGACAATGCCAATACATTATCAGAGTATGTTTTTTGTTTGCATTCTGATCACAACCATTGCAGTTAATGCAGACATGATTCCTTGTAAAAGGTGTCAGTTTGGTGTTTTAACATCTCACCACCTGTTTTGTTCCCAGAAAAAAGGGGAAAACCTATTCTCATATTTTGGTACTGGCAAAGGAGGCCCCGTGAAGTAATCAATCCTTATACCCATATAATCTATACATGAAGTTTACACGTTACTGCCAAATTTTGTTAACAGCCTTTGGATAATAATAACTTCCCATCCTGCAAACTCAGGAAAGAATACTAATTTGATTTACAACTCACGTTACTGATATTAACTGGGATGCAATGGAATCAAGATTTCTGTTCGGTGTTGGGCTTCATAAAACATACGTTCACTTCACAGAAGACTGACATACGATCCATAATGTCCACAAGAGTATTCCGATCTTTGGTGCGATGTCCTGTTGAAGAGCCTCATGTCACAGTGCCCTCCAGCACTCGACTGGGTCACTAGGATTCGTCACTAATAAACAATTCCAGGAGGGACACTGATAAGTGCCAACATAATTGACCCCCAAGCCAGAATTACGTGTGTCTGACGTACAGCAGAACATCAGGCTTGATGAAGCACTTACAGGCATTTATATTCGTAACAAGTCAGCTAAATTTAGAAAGACCCTGTGATTAGAATAAATACCAATGCGGACTCAGATTTTAAAAAATGGGGGGGGGGGGAAGCTGTACAGGAAAAGCACAACGGCAAAGCGTCTCAATAAGTGAAGAGGTGGTTGCCTTTTTAGCGCATTTATATTGCTTAAGATTAATTGATTTAATTAAGATGTAGGCCTTTGTATAATTAGTTATCTAAATAAGTGTGCACTGCGGTGCTTAACAAAATATATTTTCTGCAAAGACTTTACCCGTTTTAACTATTCAGTGGAAAATACTGCGCTTTTTTTTTTACACACACAATGGGTAAATCGTTACCGGATGGTATATGTTAGAGACACTTGACTATCATTGCTAACATCACCGTCAGCTAATTGGCGTACGTGTTTACTGGCTTATAATAATGATAATTCACTGCTGCATTTGCTAATATGAGTAGGAGGGTATTCACAGCACCGTAATATGCATGTAAGCAGCATTGCATCCAAACGTGCTCCTTCGATGCATATTTATCCCCATTCCCGTCATGCTGACTTGGGCAAAGGGGCTCTGTACAATCATTACCAATGATGCACAGCAATGCGGTTACCATTACCACTATCGTTACCACCTGCAGGTGTACACTGGAACAGGTGGAATGGCCCATTTGTTGAAGGCCACAGGGCAATAGCTTTTAACGCTGGGGAACCTTTCATGTGGAAGCTTGCTGACAACACCACTTAATTATTTTAAAAAAAGGCCCACTTAACAGGCATTGCTCGCCTAGCTTGGGCTACGACTCACTTTCATACAGAGCCACGCCATCAGACAACCACAAAACCACCGAACCACTCCACACGGCAACGGGTTAAAAAAGCAGTGGCTCCCAACCTTACGCTTGTACACATGTAAGCATAGTAATAGCAAACTGACCAGACCCAAGAACTGTTGGATTCGTTGCCAACAAAGACTCCACTAAGTGAGGGAGGTTATGCCAATCAAGCGGTGTGTCATTGTGTACACGAGTACGATGGCGTGCGCTTTTACAAGTGCGGAATTTCAAACATTAGCGCTGTGATCGCTGTAAGTGCAGGGCTGCATAGACACAGACGTGCACGCTACGTTAACGTCCGAGGGCAGCGCAAAATAAAGAAACGTAATTGCGAGCGAGTGCGCTCTTAGGCACTCAGGATAGGCGTCTTAAAATCGTGCCAACGTGAAGCCGCGTGGCAATGTCAAAACGTCCAGGATGAAGTCGGTTATGTGCGAACAATTGACCGCTTGTGTGGACACAGTAAGGGCACTGCAAGTGAGTGCGTGTGTTCGTGTGCGAGCACTGCTGGTCCTGTGGGGAACGGTGGCATGGCGGTTACCGCGCTGCACTCCGAACCCGGCGACGCAAGTTCGATTCCCGCTCGCGGCCAACATCGGTGACGAATATCTGAACCGGTTCTGGGCCTCCCGCAGGTCGACTCAGCCTTTAATGAGTACCTGGTGCAGTGTGTAAACATTGCCACTAGGGAGACAAAGGACATCCAGAAGTGGTGCTGGCCACCCACCCCCTCGTGTGCAGTGTCATAGGTGCACGCTAACAGCACTTGCTTCAATCGTCTGTTAAGGCGACACGGGGGGGGGGGGGGGGGTGCCTTGGAGGGTCCTCAGGCAACAGGTTGGGACCCACAGGGTTAGAGTGTTAGGGCAGCATGCAGATACACTAGGAGAGCGTCGGCACAAGGTGCTGCGTACAGACCTCCAGCATGAGCCTGCTATGCCTAACAAACACATTTTCACCTGCCACTCTTCTGCTGGGATGGTTCTGGGATGAGACACAGTTCATGCCAATAAAATAACCGCCACTGCTTTGAAAGATCAGATGCAAACCTAGGCTGTGTGTCACGGGCTGGCCAACGGGAGCGTGAATCCTCGTTCATAAGAACAAAAGACTTTAAAGGTCAGGCAGGAGTGCAAGTTACATGACTGTGGAAATACTGCACTGAAAACGCAAAAGCGTGGAGCTGCAGTTTGTCATCAGAGGGGTCCCGGTCTTGACTTTAAAGTATTTTTCCTCCTTAACAAAAATTCAAACTCGTGCTGAAAGTGCATGCATGGCACACAGCCTAGGTACATTGTCTACAAGATAAGAGCCAATTGTTTTTTAGGATTACGTATTTGCCAAATTTCATCAGTCAAACACTTACATAGCAACCGAGTCTCAAGATAAAGTTTCAGGAGAAACCATCGACACAAGCTAATAAGAAACAGCTCCAGAAACCAACAGCACACGGCTCTTCCTCCAGTGCCTCAATCAACATGATCTCGCCTTGCATGATCTGGAGATCAACATCTAAAACTGTACACCTCCACTTTTGCATGATGCTACTTGCTGTCAACTCAGAACTGGGTAAAACAATTAAGGATGTTGTTATTATGGGCACTTGTCATTTTATCAGGGGCATTGCTAAACAGCAATATACATGGCTCACGTGACCATGCAGTTTTAGGCATCACCAAACTGTGATTGTGCAATTTCCCTGCAGTATTGCACAACTGCAAACTCAGTGTAATGGTGCCGGTTGGTTATGACCGTGCTGGTGATGGTGTTGGTAGTGTTTGTATGCGTGCGCCTTTTCCATAAATTAACAATAGTTGTGCCACCGGTGGTGACGTTGTTGATTGTGTTAATGGCGGTGGTGTTCTTTTATTGAGGGCGGTGGTTGTGGTTGGGAAATGGTGATGGACTGCACTGCCATGTGTCATGCTAGCTGGACATACTGCCGATTGCAGTGTGGCCCAAGGTGGTCATGAAAGTCGATGCCCATGAGCACGAGGTTTGTTTTTGCCCCCCCCCCCCCATGCTAAAGTTTTAACTCTGCGATCTGAGGCACAGGCTCAGTAACCTGACACAGGCATCAGTGCTCCAAATCCACCCCGGCCACTTAAAACATTTCTGAAGGATAACAATCTGCAAATAAATATGGAGCGTAAACAGACGAGCAAACCGCATTATAAAAGGTCCCAGGGCCACACCAAAGAATTAAAAGTAATCGCGAGTGTGTGCAGCATTCTTAGGGCTCGTTTCAGCTTGGCATCTAATCCTGCCAAACAAATGCACTGCAGAAGTGGAGAAAATGTCAGAACTTAAAAGCTAAAGTCAATCAAACTATTATTCTGCTCAAACACAACACAGTAATTATCAATTCCTTCGCTTTTAAATCCCCATCAGCTACAGTCCATTGACGTTGTTGAAAATGACATGAGAGAGCAACCGCATCTCAAGACCATCACCACGTGAGCAATTCATTATTCAATGGTGTGGCTCCCACTTTAAAGTGTGACTCTGCTAAGTATTTGGGATTTACACCAATGAGAACTGTCATTTTCGGCTCACTCTAGCGACCATTAAAAGAGGCCAGGCAGAATATTACTCTACTTGGCAATTATCATTAGGCGAGTTTAGTCATTAAGTCTTTCTGTTGGTTTTAGACCATACAGTGTATCTCTTCGTGTAAAGATGGTCGCAGGCTAACCAAATATGCATTGTAACTGCCAATGAAGGACGCTTGAGTTGTGAATAAACTACCGGCGATCAACATTGGAGCAGTCCATCATTACCATTAGGTTGGACGGGAGACATGATGATGGATATTATCATTTAAAGAAAACAAATCATTATTTATTTAGTTTCGAGTCTATCACAGCCAAGCAGTAATAGTCGACATTTCTAACTAGGTTAGAACCCGCTAATGAGGCTAGGATTCAAATTGTTTTTTTTTTACAGGGTGATATGAATCTTGTCATAACATAAATTATATATATTTTAAAAGACAATGCGTCTACCCTGTTCACACAATTTCGGAGTGATATTTGTCATATGTACAGCCTTGAGGCATTTGGTGGAAATTCCACATTCCTATGGCCCCACAAGGTTATCCTCGAACATAACACTCGGCAAAAATGTATAGAATAAAGCAGAAAAAAATAAGTGATGACAAGATGTGGTGACATCGACATAATTCGCCATAATGACCTCTTGACTTTGCTTACTATTAAGACATTTCATCATTATTACAGAAGAGCACAATCATGACAACTACAATATTGCAATCAACAGAGCGTAAAAATCACTCTCGAACAATAAGTAAAAATCACAACACAAAGAGCAAATGCAGCAGGGCGGACGGTGTGTCATGCATGGTTGGAGCAACCCAGTAGCTTTCCACACACCTCTCTCCCCGTGGGGGGCGTCTGGCTGCTGCCGGCTCTCTCCCCCTCCCCCTCCGTGCTCGTCTGGTCGTTGGGCGTGGTTCCATCCTCGGGCGTTGCCATAGCCACCGAGCCGCCCCCCTTGCTGCTGCCGCTGGGAACCTTAGCGGCCCTCGCTCCGTCGTCACCTTGCCGCCGCTGTTTGTCGACGGCGGAGCGGGGGGCCTCGTGGGGTTCCGCGGAGGCCTTGGGGAGGGCCTCCACCTTCGCGGCACCGTTGGAGCCTACGGAGGGCGGCTGCAGATCGCGAGCGGCCGCGCCGTCCAGCGACACCTTTTCGTGGTCGCTCACCATGGGCGCTGTGGAAACACGACCATCGGCACAGTGACGCCTCTTGATAATCGCGCTCTTTCTTCCGTTCGTTTGTCACCGCATGCGACTCTCGCACGCTAGGTGGCGCCAGTGGGATGGTTGACAAGATAAAGCGATAAACAACAAAAACTATTTCAAGCAGCTGCATCAAAATAAACACACACGTTCTTTTCATTTCCCAACTTCCCATAAAAAACATTTCCAGGTCGCTAGCTGACTTGAGGTGGCACGTAATTAGCAGCTTTCATTCAGCAGCGGATAGAAAACGGCGACGATGAAGATGACGAATGCCAGTCGAGTGGCGGACGCGAGGGAAAGGAGAGCCTTCCCCGCGCACCTCCGATTAGCACGGTTGGCTACGTACGATGCGAAAGAAGTTCAACATGCATACGTACCGCGGTCCAGGCTGCGCGTGCTCGTCTTTCGCTTGCTCGACGAGCGCTGGAACGCGGGCGCGGGGCGGTCAATGGCGGCGCTCATCTGCCGCGTCTCGGCCTGCGTGCGGCCGCTGTAGCGGAAGCGCGAGCCCAGCGTGAAGATGCGCGACTTGGGCTGGGGGTCGGCCGACACCAACCTGCCCGGGGGCACGACGCACAGCAACAGCAGCAGTAGGGGCACCGATCAGACACGTTGGCAGCAGTAGAGGCACCGATCAGACACGTTGGCAGCAGTAGGGGCACCGATCAGACACGTTGGCAGCAGCAGGGGCACCGATCAGACACGTTGGCAGGCGCTGTCCAACACGACCCGTGAGAGTAACCGCTGGCGATCCATCTCAACACAAGCTACGCCGGTGATTGCTTACTACACCCCCTCCCCCCCCCTGCGCTGTGTCTAAACCACTGACCATGTTAGGACTCCACCGTTGCTCTTCAATGCATTGTCATGATTCTGGGGGCTAAAATTCTTTTTTTTATATATATATACATTATTTTTCTTCTTGATCGTAACGTTTTGCTTGCGCCTGTTTGCATTTGTGTCCCATTTGCTCCCTATTTTCATTGGGGTCATTCAAATAAGTACCACAAATTAATTGGCGAAACTGCGTTGCCAGTAATGAACAAGCATAAACAACAAACCCACGTTTGTCAAGAACACTGCCTTTCTTAGGAACACTGATAAATCGGCAAAATATTACATCTTCTTTGGTTCTTTCGGTAAAGTCACGTGACTTTACCGAAAGAACCAAAGAAGATGAATCATTGCAGTCACGAAAGCTTTAAATCGAAAAATAATACATGTTATATTTTTGCCAATTATATAGTTTTACTTTCAAGACAGTGGTGTTGACAAATGTGTTTTTTTGTAAAAACCCCAATTGGGCAGTTGCCTAGTTAAGCAATGCAAAATGTATTGAAACAATTGGTTTACCACTAAATTAGCTGCTCCCTGACGCAATACTTTGGTGTTCCTTCTTACCGGAAGAAAGCGTGGTGCTCAATGCAGGTCTTCCACAACCGTTTGGCAGCTCTGTGCGTTGGGAGTTTAAATCCGATGGTGCTCTCAAACTGTTCAAACTGAATGACAAACGGCACCAATCAATTCAAGTGTTAAGGCGATGTGTCAGCAGCGTGGTACAGGCACAAATACACTCAGCAACTTCATCGTTGAGCAACGTAAATCTCTACACCTGCCCTTTCTGCTCTAAAGATCTGTCACTTCCCAAAATTTAAAGTATGTTTAACTTATTTCACGCTGTACGCAGCCAATCGTGCTAAATCGGAGGTGCAGGGGAAGGACAAACAAACTAAAAACAAAAAGCAGATCTTAAGAAATTCGTTTGCAATCTAGATTTAAATATTTTTTTCAATCATTCATCTCACATCGCACACGTGTCACGGGGACTGTTCACATCGGCTTCATCACTACACTTTAATGAAAGATGTAATCTAATTAAGACTTAAATTACATTGAAAAATACTTTAGTAAAGTGCCTTGTGCATCAGTTCGGCAAAGTAAAATTTTACGGAATATTCTTATTTATCTGAACGACGGGTCACGTGCAGTGTATATTTTTTGTTAAACTGCGTGAAACACGTACACTTACACATTGAAGGAGTACATCATGTAAATTCAACAAATATGTCAACATTGATGTAAAGGAGTAGGGTGACATATGGTGAAAAAACGAATATACTTAAGTATTGCAATATTAAACACTATCCATAGTATACTTGCCGTGTATAACATTTGCAACCCAATGTACGAATGTAATGCCAAAGCGTTTGTGAACGTACAAACAAAATGTGTACGTTGAGTCCATTGGCAAAACCACGACTGGAAGAAGGCCTCCCCACCCACCCCACGCAGTGTCTGTCATGGGGGTTGTTTGGCCATACTTCATCGGGCTGGTCAGCGCCCGTGCGTAAAAGTGAGGCAGCCAGGACATGTTTGGATATTACTGGCTACTGATGTTAGCCAGGCAGGTTACTCGTGCAGTGTGCTAATTACTATGCCACTACTCAGCCCTCGAGAAAAAAAAAATATATAACGTAATTGAAAAATAAACTTAATCGCAGAGAAATCTGTTACATCTGAAAGAGCTATATAAGCCCCCCCCCGTCCCCCCTGGCTGCATTTGAATTTTGCATCGATTATGGCCGTTGGGATTTAGACTTAATACAGTGAGGGAAAAAAGTATTTGATCCCCTGCTGATTTTTTTACGTTTGCCCACTGACAAAGAAATTATCAGTCTATAATTTTAATGGTAGGTTTATTTGAACAGTGAGAGAAAATAAAAATCCAGAAAAACGCATGTCAAAAATGTTATAAATTGATTGGCATTTTAATGAGGGAAATAAGTATTTGATCCCCTCTGCAAAACATGACTTAGTACTTGGTGGCAGAACCCTTGTTGGCAATCACAGAGGTCAGACGTTTTTTGTAGTTGGCAACCAGGTTTGCACACATCTCAGGAGGGATTTTGTCCCACTCCTCTTTGCAGATCTTCTCCAAGTCATTAAGGTTTCGAGGCTGACGTTTGGCAATTCGAACCTTCAGCTCCCTCCACAGATTTTCTATGGGATTAAGGTCTCGAGACTGGCTAGGCCACTCCAGGACCTTAATGTGCTTCTTCTTGAGCCACTCCTTTGTTGCCTTGGCCATGTGTTTTGGGTCATTGTCATGCTGGAAAACCCATCCACGACCCATTTTCAATGCCCTGGCTGAGGGAAGGAGGTTCTCACCCAAGATTTGACGGTACATGGCCCCGTCCATCATCCCTTTGATGCGGTGAAGCTGTCCTGTCCCCTTAGCAGAAAAACACCCCCAAAGCATAATGTTTCCACCTCCATGTTTGACGGTGGGGATGGTGTTCTTGGGGTCATAGGCAGCATTCCTCCTCCAAACACGGCGAGTTGAGTTGATGCCAAAGAGCTCCATTTTGGTCTCATCTGACCACAACACTTTAACCAACGGCAAGAACAAATGTCCTTCAAAAGTTCTTGCCGTTGGTTTTCACACCTGATGATGACTGCTTGTGTTGCAGTCGAAACGTCGTGAGAATTTTATTGTTTTATATATATTTTATAATTTTATTGTTTCCCCTTCAACGTGACTTTACCGAAAGAACCGAGAATATGAATCACTGCAGTCACGAAAGCTTTAAATCAAATATTAACATGGATTTACGCAACAGCAGCAATAAAAATAGAGCCGCAGCGGCTACACCCTTAATTACATTTTCTTTTGGCTTATATCGCGTAAATATCAGTGTCGTTAACCCACCACAACTACCCGACACAGCCAATTATTCTGAATGATATTGGTCGCACCTCGCCCGGCCGGATCTTGATGTAGAAGTTGGTGCGTTTGTATGAGATCTTGAGGATCTTGGGCCAGGCAAAGCGGTTTATGCGCAGGCGGTCCCGGTAGATGAGCAGCCCGTTGGCGCAAACGCCCAGCATGATGTCCAAGCCCTCCGAGTCCTGTCGCACACGGTGGTAAATGCAGGCACCTGGTCGTTAATTATGCGTTGCAGACTCCGCATTTAGGGCAGAAAAATGGAAAATTAAATCACATGTCATTATAATCCTAATAAGCGACATCATCAACAGCATCACCGTCATTGGCAGTATTATTTATAGGTTAGATGACATGATTTTGATTTAAAGCTTTCGTGACTGCAGAAATTCATATTCCTAGTTTTTTCGGTAAAGTCACGTTGAAGGGAAACAACAAAATAATAAAATATATATAAAACAATAAAAAAATTCTCACGACGTTTCGACCATAACTCAAACGGTCATCTTCAGGTGTGTTGGTTTGCATAATTTATGCAAACAGTTGCCTGTACATATTGCTATGCAAACCAACACACCTGAAGATGACCGTTTGAGTTATGGTCGAAACGTCGTGAGAATTTTTTATTGTTTTATATATATTTTATTATTTTGTTGTTTCCCTTCAACGTGACTTTACCGAAAAAACTAAGAATATAGATGACATGATCACAACCTGGTGGGAACTCAAAAGTGGCTGTTCCAAGGATAAAATATTAAAGGCCTTCGTTCAAAGTGGTTGTGCAGAAGGGCCATTGCCCAAAAACAGTTGCCTGTACATATTGCTATCCACTGCCTGAAACGCGAGCCACTCATGCTGTGGTTGACGAGCACTCATTTAGCTCAAAGTTCCAACAAATGCAAAACCACCAGCTACTGAAGAACTGCTTTGTAGTCCTCTCCCTTGGTGGAATTGGTGGCTGTGCATAAATTATTACGGCTGTGTGCTATTATGCACACGCAGTGCTTGTTGTCGTGTTGGTGAATGTTTCTGTTGCGATGGGCTCGCTCGCAGTTTACGGATTTGAATTTGTTTATTTCAGCAGTGGGAAATGAGAAAAGCTGATGAAGTTAATAACGCCGGATAACAATCACTGCTTTTCTTAACAAACACCGAGTTGGGACTATTCGCATAATTGGACTCAAACTAATTACACTATTGAAAGGCGTATGTCTATAATAATACACGTTAATTCCCTACAAATGTATTTGTGTTTACTGTACAAGCCAAACAAAACTCGATAAGGATGGCATGGGAAAACAAAGCACCCTGCACCCGACTTCCTCCTCTGGGCTCGCTTAATTACCACAATGCTCAATGATGCAGAGCCACTGAACACATTGCTCATGCAATTTACAACCATCATTAAATATCCCGCAGGCTTAGGGTTTTGTTTTGCTTTCATTAACGACACCCTGTCTTGTTAATGCACAACCCACTCCATTCTCATGGAAATGCATGTAAACATCTTTCACAATTAATGCCTAATGCATTCCAAGGCAATCAATCAGCCAACAAAGACTTCATTAAAAAAAGCATTCTGCAAAAGGGGATAAAAAAACTATTCCCAGCTTCTCCACGTGACAACGATATTGTGAGTAAAACAGCTGTACGAAGCCAGCTTTAGACATACTAAAACTCCCCGAGCCAAATATAGCTTCCAGGGGATTGACTGTGGCTGCAACAATTGTTTTGTTTTACACAAATGACTAATCTAGTAGAGTTATTGTCTGATCAATTAAAATATATATATACATACTTAATTGGTCTCATTGGGAGGGGGTTTTGATGTCATAATCAGTAAGCAAGCATATCTAGTGAACATAACTTGACAGGTCACCAACATTCCTGGGCAGAACAAGATCATTTGACCTATGCAATACATAGATAATCATCGCCATAGTCTACTGAACGGATCTTGCGGAATGCAGGAGCCACAGCGGATGATGGACAAGCCCAGCAGGCAGCAGCTTCACATGTCAATGCTGACAAACCAACACTGTCACGTTACAACGTGTTGGGCAATTCATTTGTTGGTGATGTGAAACTTGGGGCATGCCCGTAACCCAATGCCTTCATTCTCTTGAGTCAAACATCCATTTTATTGAGTAAAACCAGTTGCTAAGCTCCGACAGAAATTATCCAATCAAGCAACTGGTTACCAACACACACCTGGCACTGGGATGCATTTGAGTTGTGGCGTGCATGGCTAGTTTGCGGTGCTATTGCTGACCATATTGCATTGTTAAATTGAGGACTCATTGAAGAACCATACTCTTGACTCACAACCGTGCAGTATTTAACAAGTAAATGTTCTCGATTTACACAAGTGCCGATCAGATGGAGTACAATAACCATTGTCTATGAAATGCCTACGAAATTACATATGTATGAATTTAACTTCTTAGTTTAGTGGTGGGTAATTTCTAAATTTGGCATTTGAAACAGGAAGCCAACACAAAGTAGCCTACTATAAAAAAAAAATATCACGAGTTCTTGAGTGTTCCGCATTTGGTGTTAAATCTCTGTTGATTTTTACTGACGAGCCTTTAAAAAACATTTCAATGCTCTCACCCAAGGTGAACTTAGCAAGATGGCCATCTGATGGCTTCATTGGCAACAACATCCGATGTATATGCAGCACAAAGGGATCATGACAACAATAAGCAGGGACACCATTCCCAATGAAGCAGAATTTACAGTAGCTGCTCACTCACCCGGGCATGGTGCAGGTCCACCCCGTACATAGACAGCTTCTTAGCATTCTCCAGAAAGTGCAGGTCAGCTTCTGCAGGAGTCATATTCCTGTGACACACAGCAGAGGGGAATATCAGATGATGGCGGTGACATTAGAGATGGCGATGACTTATGGAGCTCTTCATACACCAGTGGATTGATCATGGCTGATGATAACAGATTGCAAAGGTAGGGACCGTGTTGACAGTTGTACACTTTATGGCAATAAGCCTAGGTTAATAAATTTCCGAAATGGCCAAAACACAAAAAACCTCGACGATTTGGTGCATAGTGATCGTAGCGGAGATGTTGGCACACCGGTACCGTTGTTACCACACTCCTGCGTCTATCTACTTCTGCAACGACCACAACTGCTGCTGCTGCCCCTACTGCCGATACGGCCGATGCCGCTTCTGCTGCCAACTCGGCCGTTCATGCCACTGCCACCAGAGCTTCTGCTACGGCAGCGGGCATGTAGACGGGCCGGCAACACACCTGTGCGTCTTGTGCAGCTCCACGACCTTGTCCTCCAGCTCGGGCGTCTGGTTGGGCGCGAAGCGGAACTCAGAAGCGTAGCCGGGGCCGTGCTCGTCTGGCTCGTGGTCGCCCAGCTCCGCCTGCAGCGCGTACGAGCCCAGCACGGCGTGTGTGACGAACGAGCAGGGCAGCCGCCCGCTCGCCACGTCCTCGCGCAACTGCAGGCAAATATAGTACCTGGGGGGAGGAGGGGGCGGGCGGGCGACATTTCACAGGCTAAATACACGTCGAACGCGCCTGTGGGAACAGAGGCATATCGTCGTTGGCTGGCATGGACCCTGATGAAAGGAAATAAATGGAGAACCCCTGCCTCATATGCCCGTCCCCACCACTCTTCCGTGCCCTAGCCCCTCTGACCCGTGGGCCCCAGTGCATTTACACCGCCTGCATACCAGATAGCTATGTCAAAGCAGAGGCATAGGAACACATTTGTGAGCCTTACAATCATTTTGCTTACAATTCAGAGTAGAGACTTACAAATGTTCATCTTTCGTGACTGGTTCCCATTCATCCACTGCGGTGGCATTTCACTCGGCATGTGAGCTTACCTGGTGATATCCTCAGTCAGCTGCGCAGGGTCTGGAGGGTAGAACTTGGTGTTGAAGATGAACGTCCAGGCTCCTGCTGTGATGCAAAGCATCAGAGTCACAACCGTAACCGACTGTATGTCAAACTATCATTCATTGACAATTCCGATATGGTGCTAAAAGCACCAACACAGTGAAAAGCAAACAAATTAACGGTGGTTGGGCTCAGCACCAAGGGTGGATTATGGTTCGGGATAGTGCTCAAGGTGCTAGTGCCCTGGCCCCTTCTACAGTATGCATACTTGGCCAAGCAAAACCAGACAGCATCTTCGTCTGCGGTGCTCGCAGCTCTCGGTCCTCCATCCAGCGAAGTCATAGGGCAAATATGCACCATTGTCTGCACCTGTCCACATTTAAAGTTTGAGCCATCTAGGCACCGATTGGCTCGTTTGGTTATGGCAAGGCAAAGGGTGAGTGGTGGGCATCTGTGCTCAGAGCGGTCTCGCTATTGTTGTTCGGATGACTAAACTAAAAATCTGGTGCAGAGCTTACACTAGCGGACCTGACTGGCTCATTCAGTTCGAGTCGGGAGTAAGGTTCTGGGTTGGCTCGCATGGTCAAGGCGAGGAGACACTGCTCATGTAAAAGGTCTGGTAGGCCAAATTGAATTATTTTCTTTGACTTGTCTCATTTGCTCTCGCATAAGTGTGATATTAATGAATTGTGATGTTGGCTGGTTTTGCCATAGGTAGGGCTAGGGTCTGGTCAGCGAGTGATCTCCACACCTAACACCGTGCCGCTCTCACACTGATGCCAAAAACAGGCTTTGAATTTTTTTGAAATCACTTCTCACATTGTGTTTACAGCACATACAGCTCTCAGTCCTATGGGTAAAAATGTTCACCGATGATCACAATAAAACACAGCCAAATGTCTAAGCTTAATTAAAGCAATTAACCAAAATGGACAGCCGTGCTATGTTAGTCGTTTCCCCGAATGACATTTGTTAACACCGTTTTCAGCAATGCAGCAAAAGGTGCTGTGCACAAAACACAAAACTCAATTACCAACAACCTCACCGCGGCTCACGAAACCGCCACAGTAAAAATAAATTCACCTCTCATGAGAGCGTGTTCTTACGCGATTACATTATTGAGAGAAAAAAGAATGCCCGAGTCTGGAGCCTGCAGCTAGAAGAAATGAAACCCCATTTGGGAACAGTGGGAAATGAAAGATAATAATGCATTAACAGGACACGTACAAGCGACATTATTTTAACACGACACGGTGCGAGCGAGTCGAGACGTCTGGTTTGCAAACACTTCATGTCTACATTGTTACGAAAACACATTTACATTGGATATGGAAATTGTTGCCTTTGTAAGAAGCTCATTCCAATTCACACTTCACACGTACGCGAATAATCCACATTTGCCCCATTTTACTCAAATTATGCCGTTTTATAAACATAATGGCAAGCTCCTCAAACACCACCACTGTTTTAGTGTCACGATTCACCACTCGTTAGGAAATTAATTGTCACGATTTAAGGTTGCAATTTAATTAAAAAAAAAAACCTTATTTAAACATTGTTGGGAATGTAGCAGCCTCTAATGGCTGGAGGGGTTACATTAACTCAATCTTACATTAGCGATTAAACGTATGTATCACAAGCTTAGGAACAGATATGAAATCTAATGGATTGATGCCTTGTTGCAATACTATTTTTTTACAACTGAATACTTTTGGTATGGAGTGATAAAATCATGTGGATCACAACATCCAGGGTCATAAGGGATGGTGAAGGCATGGCGAGGCCTGCATGACCTTGACCACCAAGATGCTTTATGCCGACCTGAAGTTTAGAATGATTGGACCAGAAATAGGAGACTTGCTTTGAATTGTAAATTATCCCCTCTCATCTTAAATGAACTTGTTTATGTCCGAGTTGACGTCACAGTCGCCCTGACTAGGAATAAGCCACTACACCTTCCCTACTGCTTACAATATTATTATCAAAACGGCTGTTGCTCATGCACATATTAGCGATTCTATATTTTTTTTTTTACAATAAACACAATGCTTTACCCACTAAGGATAATTAAAAGGGGACAAGCCTTAATATGTAATGTTCCTAACTAAAGTGGCAAATAACAATGAAGAAACACTATCATTAACCCGAATTCATTTCGTAATTAGACAACTGCAGCAGTGAAGACATTTTATAAAGTGGCTGTACAAGGCTGAAGCAATTACATTAATGTAGGGTCTCAAGACCATTTCATTGTTAAAATGTTCAGTTAATCGAAGTTCAAAGGCGTTTGGTTGCTTACAATTCCACCCATCTGCCTGGTAATATTCCCACGTCAATTACCTATTTATTTACAGGCGATATAGCGGTGCAAAAAAGCTGTACTTGTTCGGCACACCGAGATGTGGGTATTGTAGACATTCTGGCATTTTTGGACGATTACACGCTAGTGTGGCTGAAATAAGTTAATGAGTTCATTCTCTCGCAAGCAAAAATGTGCGTCCATATTATCCACTTACCTCGCACCTGCCTTTTAATCTCCTTGTTTGGATCCAGCCAATTCTGAAATATCACAAGACAGGGTTCCTCCTAATGAGTTACAAATGAAACCACAGAAATGTTAGAATCGCGCCAACGATACAAATTAAACAGAGGTCTACAAATTATCCGAGTACAATGTTTTTTTTTTTTTTTTACCAGATGAGGCCCACTGCCCTCTATCGTTTTTTAGAAGCGACCTGGCCACAAATGATCGCTCAACGAAGTGGCTTATCATGTGGAAATGTGTAGCAATCAAATACTCTAAACGCACATTGATTCTAAATGTGGAGGGAAAAACCAGAGGACCTGGAGAAAAATCCATGCGACCACGGGGGAGAACATGCAAACTCCAAATATACAGGCGTCAGAGTCGGGATCGAACCCACAACCTCCTGTACACCAGGCGAGGTAGTTAACATCTCCCCCACAATAATTGCGGAATGGTGGTGCTTTGGTTAGCGCACTGCATCATAAACCCATAGCCCAAATTAGATTTTCTGACATACATAGCAGTGACAAGTGATATCTGTACCAAGTATGGGCCTCAGATTTCACAAACCAGCATTGGCTCACGTGAACTTGTCAAAAAAAAGCATTAACCAACATGGCATGGGGACACCTTTATCCAGCAGTGGATTGACAAAGATGTCATGGATCACCTATTTATTTAATAATCTGTCAAAAGCGAGATCACAAACACAATTAAAATGTAACATCGACTGCCAAATCAGATTTGACGATGCTTTATTTTTACTTACTTTTTCAAAAGATCACAACATGCATGCAAGCACTTGCCCAAACATCTTTTAAGGCACAAAATACAAATGCCACGATGGGATATGTTCAACATTACACCATTGCCTAATAAGGGCTATGGAAAAAGCAAGCTTATGGAGCAAATACTGTGCGTGGTACACGTTGAAATTAATCATATAATACAAGCATTTTTTTTTTCCAAAACAATGAGGGTTTTAAATTTCGATTTAAAGCTTCCATGACCGCAGGGATTATTCTTCTTGGTTCTTTCGGTAAAATCATGTAGAATGGAAATAAAATAATACAAATAAAACATAATAAAATAAAATTCTCACGACGTTTCGGCCACAACACAAGTAGACAACGTTTGAGTTCACTCAAGCGCCGTCTTCTGGACAGTCCTGTTTCTTCACCTGAAGAAGGCTACTTGTGTTGTGGCCGAAACGTCGTTAGAATTTTATTTTATCACGTTTCATTTTTTATAATTGTATTTCCATTCTACGTGACTTTATCGAAAGAACCAAGAAAATGAGGGTTTTGTTCATAATCAACAAATATATTTTCCAACCACTCTAGCATATAGAATCCGACATAGGCTGCGAAACTTCAGAAATCAAAATTTTCCAGGAAGTAAAGGAGGAGTTTTTTTTTCAGATTGCAGATGGCCCGAATGCAAACCCGCAGTAAAGTTGTCGCGAAAACCCAACCACGCGGGCGGCGGCTTCCCCCTCCTGCAAGATCGTTATTTCCCCCCCTCCGACACAAACGGAGAGGCTCCGTTTCCTCTTGTGGGTGTGAGCCAAGCAAGGTCACGTGCAGGAACACTGATGGATTTTAATAACAAGTCGTGCTGAACACGAACAGTAAACACAAAGGGTGAACAATAACAGTGAACCCCAGGCCTGTGAAACACCGAGCTCAAGGATGAGGTGCATTAATTGGTCAGCGACACTCATTCCCAGAAGAAGGCTCCGACTTCGAATTGTTAAGCGGCAGCGATTCTACTCGTAGCCAAATGTATACGATTACAAACATCCTGAATACCAATACAGCCAGTCACAGTTCTGTGCAATCTACAGATTCCACAACCAACCACTCATTAAACTGCTAACACAGACATGCGGCGTTAGCGCTACCAGATCTGAAATTACAACCGCCACCACGATTACTGCAATGCTACGCTAAATAGTTCAAATATTGATCAGATAAGTACTGCAGGACCATGGACAAATGCCAGCGGACACAAATACTATGCTAATATTATACGCGCAATACTACAACTACCAATTTGTTACATTACAGGACTGTGAGAGGCTGTTAATGCTCATGGAGACCTTCTGCCAGTAGTGGACTGATCATGGCATTTTATGTTGAGTAAAAAAAAGGTCTCCTTCATAAATAATCTGTAGTCTAATGTAAAAAAAAAATCTATTTGGTTATGCTGCATTGGCAGTGGTGCACAAGCACAAACAACAAAAAACTCACATTCATAAGACTGTGGCCTTAAAAGGAATATATCAAATAGATAACGTTTCAGGCAATGACCATTCTTCATAGCAGCCTAAATGGACTCAGATTGGTTAATAAGTAACATTGATTGAGTATTGATTCTAACTGAAACTATTTTTATTTAAAAACTAAACAATTTTTATTTTACCAAGTAAGGCCCATTGAGCTATATAGCTCTTTTTCAGACGCGACCTGGCCACAAATGATAGCACGACAAAATGGCTTCACGTATGGAAGATTCTAGCAGCCAAACTCTAAAACGCATGTTTTTAAATGTGAAAAAAACGCAAAACCCGGATAAAAATCCACGTGACCATAGGGAGGACATGCAAACTCTAAATACACAGGCATCAGGGTCGGGATCGAATCCACGACCTCCTGTATACCAGGCAAGGTAGTTAACATCTCGGCACCACGGCACCCTTTGATGGACCGACAGCTTTCGAATTACTATGCTTATTACAATTAGTGTAAACATGAATAACAATGGAGGATGGCGAATGAGCGTTAGATAATACACTAATGCAACAATGCCCACTGTCCCGTACCTTCTGCTCTGTATTGTCACGGTAGTTGAGTCCAAAGTAATCCTTCTCCAGCAGGTTGAGGTGCTCACACACAAGGTCAAACAGGACCTGCCCTTTAGCTTGTTTCTGTGGAACCAAATATACCCACATAATCATCAACAACAAACTTACATAATTTCATTCTCATCGTCATATGAAGCTGTCTACAATGTTTAATGGCACGTGGCAAAAATAAAATTCCCATCACTCCTTAAATCATAGCAGTCCCAAAAACACACATGTAAAAACATGGTTATCATGGAAAATATGGTAATTGGCTAAAATAAGAATTGACCTGTTAAATTATAGCCAAGTGGCCACTTACATAAGCAGCTGGCAAAGTAGCTGAACTAAACTATATTTTTTTACCAGGTGAGGCCCAACACTATGCTATACAGACCTATTTCAGAAGTGACCTGGCCACAAATCATAGCTTGATTAAGTGACTCACGCGGAAATTTAGAGCAGCCAAATATGAACTGAAACTAAAGAGCCACAAAAACAACAAAGGTTTATTTACATTTATAATAACGGTTTAGAAAGTTTTGCAAATAAACCTGGAAAGCAGCAAAGCGGCAGGTGCCACAGCACAGCCTGCCTGCCACAGCTTCTAAAGGCACAGTTTGCACTTTAAAACACAAGTGCAATAACTCGTCCATTTTCAACACCCCTTTTGACAATATTTCCCTCCGCACAGAATTGTGATCGAGTTGAGAATTATGGTCGGCGTGGCCAATTTCCATAAAGGGCATCAAAAAAAGGAAGGCCTTTAAATATAAATAAGGCCTCTCCAGCAATTGCAAATTCACAGGGAGCTATGGTTTTGTCCGAGTTATTTTATTAGTTCTTATTTGCCTGCATCGAGTCCCATCTGCAATATGCACAGGGACCAAGATGAGTTTTTCCATATCCAGAAGGAAGGCACTAGTGGCTAAAAAGAGGCTTTACAAGAGCCACTGTAATTGACAATTCATTCGCATTTTTAAATCATTTATTCGCTCAAGACTGGGGAATACAAAGGACAGTATTGTGAGCGATTTCATGGCTTATCAAGGGAGCGTGGGGCTTCACAATACCCAATTCATTTCTTAAACCATGCACTAATCTTGTGGCTTTTCAACATTCGAAAATCAATTTAATTGTACAGCAACCACAACCAATTTATTTTTCCACAGATAAAGATAAATGGAAAGTGGACAATGAACACTACACCCAATTGCTGAAACATGGCTTACAAAAATCAAAACGTTAGTCTGCATGCTTCACAAAAAATACCGTGCCTCAAATATTAACCAGCAGGATAAGACACAAAATCATATTACGAATGTCTACCTCAAACTACATTGTCTATATGCAACATGACGGGCGATGCATTTCTGAATTGTGAGATGGTGTTGTGCGTAAATATTATTTTGAGCTTCATTCTTACAAATTACAATTACAATGTAAGCCCCTCCTCAATGCCATGTTGGTCACTGTGGCTGTTTTGACCATACTTCACCAGGCTTGTCATTGCGGAGTCAGGACCGATGCAGATAAAATTCACCTCAGACGTTAACAAAGTCGGTAAACAAACTCAGTTCGCCTCAATCATAGCATAGTGCGCCACCACGCTGCTTGAAAAACAAATGTATGAAACCATTAAAGACATGCGTGGTCAGCAAAGTGGCCAAACATGCTAAATGGTTCCACTTGAAATGCTGATGCAATGGTTATCAGAACACTAACCTTTTATATCTGTACTGTACCACAGGCTAGAAAGAACCCTATCTTTCCCCGCTGATTTTTTTTCCCCACAAAAATAATGCAGCGAAACAGAACACACACCGGCTGAAGCTAAAGAGAACAAATAACACCCACAGGAAAATCGAAAAGTGCTATCAAATCGCCTTACAGACCAGATTACATTTGACATATGAGAACTCATTACAATGAAAAATCACCAGCTATGAGCTATGGCACGGAGGAACATGTACGACCGGATAAATACAGTGGTACCAACATTAATAATTACAATGATCCTCAATCAACTGCGGTGGGGAACGTTCACCAATGGCTCAGAGCCATCAATAGAGATGATCACCGCCCTATTTAGATTTTTTTTTCAGGAAGACTGCGGCTTTTAATAAAATTCATTTTAAAAAAGACTATTCCAAAAACCAAATAAACCATAGGTTCCTTTTATAATGGAATATACAGGGGTACTCCCCACCCCTGAATTTATCCTGGTATTGAGGACACAATGTATGCCGTAAAATGTTCACCACCGACTCCAAGCCAGGAAAGAACAATGAGCTCTAGCTGCTAACTAAAAACACATGTCAAGCAAAAATCGATTTTCAAGAACTCTCTACCTTATAACGCTCATAGCAATTTGAGAGAAATGTCGCAAGCTGATGTTGAAGTCAGCTATGAACAGTCTGGTGAGGTGCTTTATTGGTCAAAACTTGATCAACACATTGGCACAGACAAATAATAATCTTTGTCAACATGTATGCGGAACTTCTTTCGCAAACTACGTAGCTAACCGTGCTAATCAGAGGTGCGTGGGAAGGACAACAAACAAACATGACGACCTTGGTCGGATGTTGGACGGTTACCGACGAGAATGGTGCCATTAAACTCCTACGCGGCAAAAACCCCAAAAACGGCTCGCAAATCGCTCGAGCGGCTAGACGCCGCTCACGACCCAACACCTGACCCACTGTTGACATTCACAGCGATGAGCCACGCGAAGGGCCAGGGGATGACGCCGCTGTCGCAAAGCCTTACGTCGACGTCGCACGGGAACACGGATCCGTCAAGCAGGCTGACAGAGCAGGGCACCGTGCACTGCCTGCGCGAGCCGCGTGCCGGGGACTTGCCGCCCTTGCTCGGGGTGCTCTTGGCCGATCCCTGGTCTCCCTTCGACAGCCTCTCCCCGTCCAGCACCTGCACAGAGCCAACGATGAGAAGGGGCTTCTCAGCGCTCGCGCTCTCTCTCTCGCTCTCTCTCTCTCTCGCACAACCGGCGCCATCGCTGACAGATGCGGAAGACACCGTGCTTTGATTTCCAATCATTTGTAAACAAAACGAAGCGTGTATTAGAGTGGGAATGGAAAGTAAAATAAATAAATTGCAATCATTAATGTTGAAACGTAATACTGTAATCTTGCAGATGCTTTAGTCTGGCTCTTTTAAAGTTACCCAACATTTATTGTAATAGAAGTGATTATAACGATCGTTTCAATACCTATGGATGAAACAATTGACTTCTTTCATGATTTGTAGAATTGAGTCATTTCATAAATTGATTATGAAGTGCATGTGAAATCTCAAGTGGCTGCAAGGTTTTTAATAATGAATCAACATTACATGGGAATTGGAGCGAACAATTGATTTATTTTTTTAGAACATAAGCAAACCTGGTTTGGTCAAAGGGAGGAATTGTTACAATGAAGCTTTGGCTTTAACCAGCCAGCTATAATGTTTTTTTTTTTGGCAACGACAAGAAACGATCTTGAGCCCCACAAATAAAAAAAATAAACTTTGATACAAAAGAACCGCTTCACTCGACGATTCTTTCACGCTTCAAATATTTATCTGCGTGTGACTGCAGGAATGCCTTGAGATTTGTTCGAGGAAAAAGCATTCTCATAAAAACAAAAGCTCCCGTGCCTACAGTCAAAACGCAACTATGTCGCTGCAAACAGAAGTGTCACCACGCGCCACACGCAGCCTGCCATCTTCGAGTGAGGCTTGCACAGAGAAGAATGTGAGCGATTTGGCTCTTCGCAACAACAATGCAAAACAGAAGCCAAGCTTTATGTAACTGGGGGGGGGGGGGGGCTAAAAGAAGAGCACGGCAACACGACACATCGCCTCCGAACATATTCCACCTCCTCCACGATGCTTTCCAGGCATGCGTCCCCGCAGGTCGAACCAAAAAACTTCCAAAAACTCCCACGGGTGCATAAATCCACGACACTAACAGTGTGTGCCTATGATGCAAGAGCGCTTAGTGCAGCAGCCGCCTTGAGAACCTTGTAGAGGGGGGCAGATTTCCAAGCTCGCGTCGTACCTCGGCGAAACACCGCGCCGATGACAGAAAACCGTTCAATGTGTGAAGCCAAGCGAGGATTCATTAGAACGCCTCGCCAACGTGACAAACACTCTGCAGAGTGGCAAAGGCGGAAAACACAAGCCATTTGCTGCGTTGACTTAAAATGTAAAGACCGTGTTTATCAATGTTGAAAAAGCACGTGAAAAAAAACTGAATCATCATCATCATTAAAATTTGAAAAAAATGCCTTGGAGCAAAAAAAATAGGGATGGCTAAATCTGATTAACGGCCCTGCTTTGAATGGGGCCCACTGCCCAAAAACATGTAGACGCTGTAATGCTGCGGTAATGTTTGAAGCTGGCAGGTGTTTTGTTTCACGTTAAATGTCATGTACATACGGTAAAATACGAGAGGGCTTTTCGATATTGCTCACTGGAAGCATGACAGTATAATAACCATAGTGCCACAACCCAAGTGTCCGTCATCCTTGCTGAACAGACTGAAAACAAAAACATTATCTTCAAATAAGCTTCAAATCTCTCAAATGATCTTAGAAATTAGTGGACCATTCGACTAATATGCTCTCTTGTATTTACAAGCATGGAGCTCAGTGGGTTCCCAGCGACATTAAGAGCCAACAATAGATGTACCAAGTGTTGCTTTAAAGACAGCTGCACTGTGAATGTCATCTCTTGGGCACTCCGCAGCAACCGACAGCTCCCGTCACAGACGTCCCCTGCAAACTTACCGTTACATAATATTCACGCTCACAGGAACCAAGTTGTGGACCCTGAAACTTTAAGTGGACATCTTTACATAATCGATCAAGTGCAATGGTTAAGACTGCCAATGGCAGCCTGAAAAGGTCAAGTTAAAACTCCATTATGTGGCTGACTTAGCCCATCATCCCTCATGGAGCACTTCTCTGTGGGAAGTCAAGGAAAGTTGGAAGATTGAGAGACTAGGCCCTGCTGCAGAAAACCGACCTTCTGCAGAATTCCATTGTAAGCGACCCCACAATCCTCCAACCAGGATCTGACCTATCAGAGGAAGATCTGGTCCTCTAAATCGGATCCGGACACTCCTTGGAAGATGTGGGACTGTTGGTGCAACATCTCAGACAGTGCGACATATCGTCAACAACTGCCCAATCGGATCATTCAACGGCGATCTGAAACAAATCCACGCGGCTACTCCTGAAGCAGTCGAATGGATATCAAATCTCGACATCAATTTGTAATCTGTTGCAATCCCCAAAACTGCCATACGAAAGAAGAAGTAGACTCGGCCCTCCCCATAAATTTGTGGAGTGTCCGCTATTAACTTGGGGCAACCGAGAGAAATGATGACCATGCTGCGGTTGTAAGAATGGAGACACCGACGTCTGTCTTACCTTATTAGGTACATTACATTATTTAACGTAAGATACAGCCCCAAAAAAACAGCTTGTACCTATAGAGGTGCATCTACTCTCTACGTCCTGGGTTGTCTTGACGTGAGCTTGAAGCTTCATTAATAAGAAAAATAGTTGAAAGTGCATTTAAGGCATGCTCTAGTGAAGCCACTGTTGCACGTCTTGCGTAATGGTTTATATGTCACTGTAAGATATGTCACTATCACTAGTGGTAACACGGTTTGTCCTGGAAGCCCATTTAAAATATGTTTAATCATTGATGAAGCTTAAAACGCATGTCAGACAGATAGCTCGGGATACAGCCCAGGTGAGCCAACAACAACACACACACACACAAAAAGAGCGCTTTGTTGTTTGAACTTCTTTCTGAGCAAAGCCCCAAAATGCCAAGTGGTGGGCAACAAACGGCAATATTTAAGACGTTCTTTAAAAAAAAGGTGCAATACAGCGTGAAACACCCACCTTCTCCTCCTTGCCGTTCCCAGTGGCGTTGGAGTGGGCCGGCGCTGCGCCGTCTGCCATCTCGGGCGCCTTCTTGTCGACAGCAGCTTCCTCGCCCGTGGTGGCACCGGCCCCAACCCCGCTAGCCATGCCTGATGAAGGCCCCTGTGGCACACGTGTAAGCGAGGGCAACACCGTCGGCGAGAGCCCTTTCAAGGCAGGCTAACTGTGGAAGTGACGAGCGCTGCACCCAAGGATCGCAACGCCGCATCGTCGGGAAAGACACATGCTTGGGTCATTGGTACAGGAAGCAGACATGATCGTAAATGTAACCGCGGATGCAAATGTTCATCAACGATTAATGATGGCTTTCCCACACTCCCCAGAACCATGCCTCACTGTCCTACGATGCCACTGGTGGACATCCTCTATGGTTGTGGTCCTCATTTGGTGGCCATTCTGTCCCGAGTCTTGTCCATGAGGATGACCTCCGTTGACTTCTCTATCGAAGCCCACTTCTATTTTTTCTTCACCACACTGAACAGTGGCCACTTGGTTGAGGTGAGTAAACTATTTTTTTTTTGCATGAGATTCCTGACATCACAAACAAAATTAACCTTCCATAAGACAGTTTTTTTTTGGGGGTTAGATCGAGTAATAATATAAATGTGTCGTTAAACCCGCCACCACCCGACACAGCCAATTAGCATGGTTTGTCACGTAAACAGAACATGCCAATTTGTTACAAGTACAGCACACCAGTGTGTTGGGGAGCAAAGCCACAACATTTACAATCTGAGTATGACGCTTCGCCCGTAAGTACAATTAGCTTTATCAGGCGACAGCCAGATTTGTGGAGAAATCCTCCTGTTTCGTTCCTTAAATAGAGGGGTAGATGTGATGACACTTGTGTGCTCTTCTTGCGCCAAGTAGGGACTTTGCTCTCCAACACACCGGTGTGCTGTACTAGTAACGAATTGGCCACGTTCTGTTTACGTGACAAACCTTACTCATTGGCTGTGTCAGGTGGTGGTGGGTTTAATGACACATTTATATATTTATGCGATCCAACGCAAAAAACCTGTATTATGGATATTAGTCGCGAAAGCCTACGTGTTAAACCAAAATTAACCTTACTCAGTTTATCATCCCCAGAGGGATGAAGTGCCGAGTCAACCCCTGACCAGGCTTTGAACTCGCATACTTCCGATTGCAAGTAGCATACTCCTACCTACGTACAACTTAGCAGCACAGTATTTACATCTACCCAGTAATACAGACAGTTAACTAGGCTATATGTAGAACAAAAAAAAACTTAACCAACTATTTTGTTTACATACCTATGGCTTTATTAGCATCATGGACAGGCGGAGCAGGAACAGAAACGTAGCGTAATATAGCCCGAAAGTCTCTCTTCAAAACTCTGAGAACTTAAATAGAACTCGCCAGTAATTTATTCAAAACGCATCGTGACAATCCAGTTTCATTTTCATTGTAAAAAGGACTTGATTACATATGCCTAAATGTTGAGGTCATCAACCTATACATGTCATTGCTGTAACACTGTGGAATACTGCTTATGCATGTACAACAGGATGGAATCACTTCAGCTTACTTTCTTGAGCAGCTTTGACACACAAATAACATTACTTAGCCAGAAGAAACTTGCAGTGAATGTATACCAGGGAAGTGCCCGGTTACAGGCACTTCCCTGATAATCAATGGGGGTTAAAGTAAGACTGATGGATGTCAGACTTACCATTCAAATTAATAGGATTCTATTGGATGATTTTTTTGACTGTCAAAAGTGTGCCATTCATTTCAATGATGATGCGGAATTCACCATTGAAGTGGGCGTGAACCCTATTTTCATCACCAAGAAAACCATCCACCTAATTTCCCATTCCATTCAAATCAACACAATTCTAGTGGCGATTCCGAGGATCGCCACTAGATGGGATGCTACCCATGTTGGCATGCCACTGAAGTGAATGCAAGCTTTTAACGTCGGAAGCACCAAACGAAAGACTACGCGATTCATGGTCAAATCATCCACTTGGAATACGATTCCTGCAGGAATTGCCCGGCACTACATGCAGAGCCATTTGTTCCAACCCTAACCACTGTGGCATCTAAATTAAAACAAGAGCCGAGAGCGACTTGCGAGAGACCAAAACGTCTCCTCCATCTCCCCCTGAACTGGATACTTTGCTGAGAAAATCTGAGTGCTTCCGGTCGTTGCATCTAGCTCATTTGATTATTACCTCGTGTTATGCTTTGTCAATGCGTTTTTTGCAAGTGATTAGCCGATTGTTTTTATGCGCTTATCGGACTTAAAACAAGAGTTGCATTCAACTTGCACTCTTAATAACCCTGCTTATGCAACCCCTGGTCACTATTGATTAAAACGTTAGTCTAAATGGGGTTCTTGGTAGTTGAATAATGAATGATTTCACACGTGGTTATAATATTCATCAATGCTATTCATAACCTTGATGGGTTAATGCCATAGAACGTCGTCATGATCGATTTTTCTTGTCAATGAGCAACACATTTGTTTATTTACAATTTAACTCATCTTTGTTGTGCAAATAAAACGCTAAAAATATATTTTAATGTCAACAGATGAGTATGTGACATTGCATCATGGGGCCATTTTGGTCACACAAATGCAATATCACCTCGGAGGTTTAGCTATTACAAAGCAAACCGCAACACTAAACATATCACATTGAGGGTGAGGTGTGCCACTGTGTATGCTTGCGCTGTTATCAAACGTAAACTGGATTAGGATATGAAAAAAATAAATGTTCCGTAAGTGCCATGGATTTATGGTTGTATAAATATTTAAAGTGCACGAATCAATATCCAGTGTGCACTTAACATTAATTCTGACATGTAAGTGATATGAATGCTAAACTTGTAGTCGGTGCATGGATTCAAACTAATGGCCAGATGGCTCACCCGTGACCGCCAAGAGAATAGGGGGGGGGGGATATTGTGGTTGTCTTCTGTTAATCAAACGTCCATGTTAATAACAATAACCACTTTGAACGTCTGCAATAACAACAGCAATTCATGCGGTTAAGAGTGGCTCGAAACGCCACTTTATTTCCACTTTTAGCCAAGCCGTGTATTGTTGCTGATAGTTTGCAGCCTCTGCGGCGTGCGTAACGGCAATTGGCAAGAGTCTTCCTTCTTCGCATCGTTTTACGGAATTTTATTGAAGTGAGCCAAGACGAAAAAAAAAACAATTGTTGAGATGATTTCCTTCTCATAAAAACACGCACAGCTAAATTTCCCAACGCTTCCATTTTTACCTGATCACAAAAAAAAATATCCAACAAGTCGTAATCTAAATGCTCCAGCAAACCTCCGATTAGCGCGATTGGTTAAGTACGTGCGAAATAAGAAGTTCAACATACATAGCCAAACATTTAATATATACAAAAATAATAGGACTTCATTTTAGTCGTAAGTTCTATTTGACTATACTTCACCGCAGCGCTGGTCTGAATGGGTTGAAGTGTGTGGACCGGGTTGAGACATCACTCGCCACGGACGCGAGCCATTGACAGCAATGGACAACGTCTTGAGGTTCATTTTCGCAGCGTGCACATTACTGTAACCCCCCCCCCCCCCCCCCACACACAATTTAATAAATGCGAGTTTATTTAAGTTTTCAAGGTGAAACAAATTTCGATACATCTTCTTTGACGGGAAATGTCTTTTTTTGGGACGCGTAAAACCTGCAATCAATGCGCCAGACGTATTGCTGTACTGTACATCAAGGACACATCTTTGCCCATCACTCATTCAATTCTCCACCAGCATCTTCACCGCCCACACACACACACACAAAGACCAAGACCTCCCGTATAGCCTTAACAGACTGTAGGAGAAAGTGCTGTTAGCGAGAACCTATCAAGGCAGGCACGGCACACAACGGGGGGGGGTGGGTGGATAGCCAGCACCACGCCCGGCCGCCTTTGTCTCCCCAGTGGCGAGGTTTACACACCGCACCAGGTACTCTTTTGAGGCCGAGTCGACCTAGGGGAGGCCCAGGACAGGTTCAGATAATCGTCACCGGTGTTGGCCGTGAGCGGGAATCGAGGTCGGGTCCCCGGGTTCGTAGTGCAGCGCAGCGCTAACCGCTGCGCCATCGCTCGCACAATATATACTGTATTATACATGCACGTGCACACACACATCATCAAGCGGGGATAACAGACTTGTCCCATGCAAGCCAAAAGCATCGCACAACAATAGCACGAAAGAGGCAACGTACAGAATTGAGTTTTTAATTGCAATACCCTACGGGGGATGGGTACGTAAAGAATGTGTTTGTTTTACAAGTAACAAAACACACGTGAGCCCACGCAACAAACAACAATGAACATCAATGCGGGATGTGACCTGTGCGAGTTTCAAGAGTTGTTAAAATCATTACGCCTTTTTACACTAATAAGGAAGCACCGATTTATCATTGTAACTTTGTATGCATTTAAACACACTGGGTAATAAAAAAAAATCCTGTTTAATAACATACATTAAGCCAGCAGCAGTAAAATTGTATTACGTGCACTCCTTATGCATAGTGCATATTTCTTTCCATGATAAGCAGTCCCAACGAATAAGGGTCACAAACTAGAGAAGACCTGTTATTACTGCCACGCAGCTGTAATTTTAATCACAGTAATGCATTAAGCCACAGACTCTGCATTAATTCTGGAGATACCTTTATAGCAAATTCTTTCCGAGCTGGGGGGGAAGATTTGTGAGTTCGGTCAATTGTTAAAGCAGGGCTCTGCTTACTGTTCCAATGGCTATGATACCGTGCTGAAACTCACACCGACCAGAACACATTGGCGAAAATTGTATGCACGTGTGGGGCAATTAAAGCCACTCAATCCAATCTAATGGGATATTTGCAAATGTCAGTTCCCACTGAGTTTCCCTGTGCCCTCTTTCTCAAGCATCGCCAAAATACAGCCAAAAAGCAGCAGTGGCTGGGTTCGCATCGGTAACGAGTGGGACCCTCCCATCTATTAAGGTTGCTAAAATCTATTTTTTTTACACATGACCGGTAAACACATGCAAACTCGGTATAAAAAAAAAAACTAATATCGGTTTGCCACACATTGAATGAACAAAACATTTTCACC